GTTTGGACGTACCACGCATATGTAGCACTTTGCAAGAAATGTCTTGAATCGGGTCCATTACCGCTGTGGAGTTTGAAACGGAGCCGCGTCTGACCACTGAGGGGGAGGAGGTTGTAGTGGCCTAAGAAACATTTTTTTGACTATCGAAATTTCTGAGGCGGAGGTGGTGTAGTGACAAGTGGCGCGCTTACCACTCGCGCGGCGCCGGGTTCGAATCCCGGGTCGACACCCGCCCAGGCCAACCAAGCCTTCTACCCTCCGGGGACGGTATTGGTACCAGATTCGTCTGGGAGGATAAAACACTGACTTGTACATCGGCTGGCCACCGCAAGTCATTGTATAGGCCACATCGCATTCAATAAGCCACTACGATTCTGAATGGAAGTAGAATGCGTGCCGCATCCCACAAAGGGATTGATCAACGGCGAAGACTTTATCCTTTTTATTTCCGAAATTTCTACTCTCGTTTGCGCTCTCCAGTTGATATCGTCGCAATTAGTCGGGGCGGTGTCAATAGGGATGGATTGAGTTCTTCCGCGGCGCTTTCCTACTGGTTGTTTTCCTCCTTAATCTGTCACCAATAGATCACAGTTGGATGAGCAAGGCAGCTGGAGGCGGGCCACTGCACCCCTGCTGGCACCGCCCAAGTGATTGCGACAATTTCAACTATGTATACCATAGCCTACGGCGGGACGATTTTACTATTTCTTACAGTTTATAGAAGCTCTCCCCACCCATGACTCCTTCCACGGCAGTTTTGTGGTCTTTGTGAAGAAGGTAGGTTGAGATGAAAATGTGGGAAAGTTAGGGGAGGCCTCATATTTGACCAAAAATCTCCGCACTATGATAATATTCTATTTTAATAGCCAGCGTAGTATCAACAGGTTTCGACATTTAAAGGTTTCTCCTGATGAAAATTGGAAAACCCTTCCTTGCGAAAGCAACGCGACCTAGCCGAGCTCCTGCTTCCTTTGGCGTATGCAAAAATCCTGATCCTCCTGGCTAACGATGGCTATTGCACCCTAGTGCCCTAGATTGTAGTGGAATGGGAATTTCCTTACCACAAAACCTTCGCTAGAGTACAAGGATTGGCCGTTCTTCTGCAGTGTCCTGACTGCAGCAGCAGCAGTTTGACACCTCAGAGGAAGGTCAAATGAGGTAGAGGCATGCAGAGATTTGGTGTAATTATCGTAAAGTATTATGACATATGAAATATGAAAGCTGGAGCCGATAAGCACACGCCATGAAGGCTTTTATATCCCTTGATAATAATAATCAATACTCCAACGTGACGTAATATTCACATATGACGGGGTTCGCTCTGTAGGGAGGGGAAACTAGTAAGGAATTTAGTGAATTTGGGAACATGGTAAGTAGTATAGAGGAAGGTGTGGGGGGAGGGGTCGTACCGAGAAAGGAGCTTATGGGAGGAGCCGTGCTGCCACCGCTACCTCACCCAGCTCAATGCTGTACCCTTGGTGCAGTGATATTTTAATTTGGTTCACATTTATTCTTTTGAAATTACTTGTCGCATTTTTTTAACTAACTAGTTTAGTACTTTCTGATCACAATGCTCTTTTTTCTTACACAATTCGTTAAACAACGAGGACGACTGTGCTTATTTTAGTTCAACATATGTGAAACGTTGAATATAGCGTACTATAGGTTCTTCACATCATTTTATTATTTTTACACGAGTAATTATTACTTTCATCTCTCATTGTTCTTTCGAGCAGATATACTGTCTGTATGCTGTCTGTATCGGAGGACATATTTTGGCGACTTTAGAACTAAAGAGAAATGCCAAATAAATAACATGAAGTGCTGCGCATGGAAATATTAGGTTGGCGGGAAAGTTCTGTCACATTTTTTCAAACTAGGCTTTCTTTTTATAGAGAGGAGTGTAAGATCAAAATTGTACAGCAATGTTACTGCGGGGTCCTTGCCAGTGTTTGAGCACCTCATGGATGCCATTGCTTCACTATGCAGGGAGACACGACGCAAAGTTGGACACCATCTCAACCTCGACTTGAACTTGGGTTATGGAGGTTTCCTCGTCCGCATAACGATCGATTACGGAAGGCAACTTGCTATTAGAAGGGGCGATGTCTGTGCTACACAAATTGCAAGGGGAGAGAGATCAAGCTCCATTGCATGAGGTACGGCTCGAACTTTTTTGGACCAAGTACGTTGCACTATCTTGGTGAGGGGCCGGCTGTGCGGACAAATTTTTCCCTCTGATCCACGATACGCCTTAGATCTCGTAGCTGCTTTGCGTACGCCTTGACCAAGGAAGCAGCTTCTTCATCCAGCAGTTTCCCGACCCATAGCTCCCTCAAGCTGAGTTTGCAGGTAACCCAAACCTCACTTCGTCATCAAAACTGTAGGCTCCCTAGGCTCCCGCCTTGAAGCGTCACTGTCGTTGGCAAGGTTGCTCAATGATTGGGGGCATCCTGCTTATTCAGCTCCATCAATTTGGCATCTGCAGCTAACACGCCGGCGTCAGGTTAGTGGTCGTGAATATAGATTGTTTGGGAATTGTTGTATGCGGCTATTTGGCTGCTTGTAGCGGTATAAAATCCTTGTTTCATATTCGCGAAGAATGGAGCAAGAGAGAGGCAAGCGAGTGGTACTAACAGAGAGACCACTCCTTGTTGTATAAGAGCTTACATTACCGGTTACCACTCTTGGTAATGGGCAAGTAATTTGAGTTCGGAAAAGAGTGACAGAACTTTCCCGCCAACCTAATATATGTGGACTGCGCAGGTGTGTCACGCGCCTCCGAGATGGTGTTAAGCCTACGATCTCTATTTTCGCGTTCGTCTCCATCTTTTCGAAGATGTTTCGCTCGTGCAGTTTTTTTACGTCTCTTATTTGATCTCTTATGATTACTTTTCAGATGGAAATAGGTCGGTGATGCCAGCTTAAGAAATTCTTTCCGTTTTAGGAGAGACAGGTCGCGCGCCTTTGGAATTCATTTGGAACTTTTTCGTTCACTAAAGTCGTCTATGTCGGCTCTGGTCTGATATACCAGGGTTCCCTTGCAAGGGCTCTTGTATAATATACTGTGCCATTCGGCTGTCCTGCATGGCTACTAGTTTGGTTTTTGCGTGTTTCCCTTCAGTATTTTGAATGTTGAGCAGCAGTTAATGCTGGAAGTTTCGGAGGGCCAGGAGGATTTTCGCCCGAACCTTAAGGGGAGGAAGGACCATGTTAAAGCACATGTCATCGGCTCCGACTCCGCATAAGCGCCCCAAAAACTCTGTCAGGGGGGCGGGGGGTGAGTATAAGAGAGAGCTCTGAAGCTGGCCTATAGATCAATAGAGGTGGGAAGATCCGTGAGCTATAAACAATAGAGTAAAATTGCGCCTGTAACAATTAACGTCAACAGTTACAAAGAAAATTTCCAAGGCTGATACGATTCCATTCCTCCCCCCCCCTCCGCAGTGGGTTTGCATTTCATGGGAAACGGTCTATCCACGTAGCCTTCACACTACTTCAGAGGACTCCAGGACCACACAAATGGCCCGGCCCACATTGCGACTCAAGGCGCGGTACGTACGGCCGGCGTTCCACAGCGAGGCGGAGTATGATGTGTTCTCTGGGGTACTGGAGGATGAAAGTAGATGGTGGAGGTTGTATTTGCCTCCGTGAAAAAATTTCCCGGCTGAATTGTTGGCTTTTCTCTGCATCAAAATTGTTGATAACCTCCCCCTTCCCTAAGAAGGGATTTTCGAAGAACTCCGGGAAAAAGGTAGGAAGCTACTAGGGTGGAGGAAGAGGTGGGGAGGCTGTGGAGGGGAAATTCATAGAGGAGTCGCTATTTGTTTATGTGTCATTTTCGACTGTGCGTCGGTTAACGCTGACCGGGTTCGGGGTGCGGTACGCCGTGGCGTGTTCCTCTCAATATTTCGGAATATTTGGCCAGCACGTGAGATGCTGGCCGGAGATGCCAGATAGGGCTCACGCGCTCGCGCTGTACCGCGTTGGAACATTTAGGGCGAGGAAGGGTAAGGCGTTCATCGGCCGAACTTCACCTGAAGCCCCCCCCACCCTCTAAAACAGTACTGGTTCAGTAAGCGGGAGCGGGCAGGGTTAGAGAGAGCACTGTTGAAGCTATAATCCATAGAGTAGAATTGGCCTCGGTACAATAAACGTCAAACAATCACAATAAAAATTGCCAAAACCTGCATGCCCCTTTTACCTTCCCTCACAACCCCGCACCCCCCACTCTCCCGCATGGCTTTGCATTTCATGGAATACGGTCTATGCCCATCGTAGTTTCACAGTTCCCTAGCGACCCATATAATAGCTCGCTATATTGGGACTCGAGGCGCATACCTCCCGAGTTTATCAGAGGCCGGAGCTGTGATCCCGGTCGCTGGGTTCTGGAGGAGAAATGTGAGATGGGAAAGGTCGTAATTTGACGCCTTGCCGCCGGTGCCCTGCGGTCGAAAATTTTTTTTCGACGCTGAAAGTGGTAGGATTTGCTTAAAATGGTTTGATAACTCCCGCTCCCCCTCGAGTGAGGGATTTCCACAAGAAAGAACGTCGGAAAAGTGGATACGGAAGCTCCTATAGGGTTGGGATTAGGAAGAGATGGGGAGGTGTGGAAGGAAATTCATAGAGGGGTCGTATTTTGTAAAAACTTTTCCTCGTAACTCGTAACCCTACGCAGACCTTGAGCATTACCTCAGAGGAATTTCTTAGCACCATGCGCCATCCTAAGAGGATAGTCGAGTGTTCTAGGAAGCATGGGACAAGGTTATTTCATAGTATTGTGGGTTGCGTGGGCAATATCGTTCCGTAGCGGGCATACGTCTCTTTGGGAAGGGATACATCATTACTGTAATTATTAAAATCAGATCTTTCGCGTTCCTGTAATGGAGAAGGGACTACTGTTGAGGCATAGTTATGCACTCAATGCCGATGAAATAGTTTTAGGTTCCCTTTGACTTATTTCTTTTATTCATTACATAATTGGGCGGCATTTATGCCAAATGCCAAGCCACGCCACAAAAAGCATCAACGCAGCGACATGTGAAGGACAGCTCAACATTACTAGACCATATGTGTTTATAAAGCGGTATAAACATTTTCTATTCTTTCAGAGAGACGGCTCGATGACGGCGGAAGGCCACAATGTCGACGCGAACCTACTCGGAATAGGTCGCGATCATGGCCATTACTTCGCCAAGAAAACATTTGGCAAACCCACATACTGCCATCATTGTTGCGATAAAATATGGGGTATGCTCACGCAAGGATATGCATGTGAAGGTAACCATTTCATTTATTTATGCTTTAAATCGAACTAGTTAGTAATATTTGAGTGCGAGATCTCTGAAAAGGGTGGGATGGGGGGTGCCAGCCTGTGGGGGCACATGCAGTTCGCCAGCTGTGCAATCGCGCAGTGTGTCATTACGTCAGCTCTAAGTACCATTGATTTTGTATGTCGACAGAACAATATTGTAAATGCTCGAAAAACGTAGGACAGAAGCTGGAATACCTGCGTGCAGTTGTTTCTTGGCGAAGAAATCCAAAATGTTGAGGTCGGTCCTCTGTTAAAGGCAGTTGGCACGATGGTTTCCTACTTAGCCTAAAATGCTAGTAGGGCGCTGTATAGTGGGGAAATGGCGAAAGAACGGAGTGAAACGGTCAAAATCCTGCGAAGAAAAAGCCTCCGTTCTCAGTGACTTGTAAATCGATTTCGGACGAGTTCCCGTA